GCCCCATCTCTTTGCTCCCCTCTGTTTGTTTCTGCCTCTGCAGTGACATGTCCAGGGGCAACAGCTGTACATCAGGCTTCTGGTCTAACCAAGAGCGGGGGATGCTGGTTTGGGACCGGAGAGCAGAAAAACCAGACGGGAGAACACCAAGGCAGCTCGGCTCACCAGAGCCAAGGTAGTGGGGCCAGGCTGGTCAGAGGACTGGCCAGGCTTTCAGACCCATGCAGTATTTTGAGACCCACCCCTGAGCTTGGCTCGCCTCCTTCGGAATAAGCTAGAGATGGAGGGGCAGAGCCCAGAGCAATTGGCGAGCCTGGCCAAGGGGCGGGGAAGCCTCGGGCAGCGTCTTACCTGGCTCTGCAGCTCGCTCTGCTGCTTTAGACGCAGGTTCTCCGGAGTGTCGGCCACCATGGTGAAGGACTGCTTCGGGTAGTGTCTGGGAGGAGAAGCAAGAGCCGTTACCAACCCAACGCCTGGACACGCGGAACAGAGCCCACGCACGGGGCCGCCTGGATGGACCTGCCCCAGGGACACGTCAGCCCCACTCCTAACCCCACCCCTCCAGTTCAGGTCTTTGTTTCAGCCTGGAGCTCACCAAGGATTGCACAGGCTCCTAGAGCCCAAAGGCCTTTAGTTCCAGGACAGTTCCCCGGCTGCGAGTCCGGCTGCAGAGTACTGCGAAAGGCAGCAGGAGCAGCGGAGTGGCCAGAGGGCCTCCCAGCAAAGGCTGCTAACGGAGCTCGCTTACAAGCAAAGAGCGTTTAACTATTCAGAGGAAACCCTTCAGTACCCCTCCCCTTCGGAGAGGAAGAAGAAAGGCGCAGATTTCTGGGACCAGCCCAGCACGCCGTCCTGACACCCTGCAATTGTACAAGAAACAGCATTCCTGAGTGCCATGGCCTTCGCGGCAGCGGCTGCAAGGACCGGTCTACGCAGACTGTTGTGCCGGCTTCGCTGTTTCAACGAAGGGAGTGCAACAAAAAAGTTTTGTTTTGTTTTTTTAATTCCAGCAGGTAGAAACATTAGTCAGCTGGTGCCGACGCAGTCCTACTGGTACAAAGGGGTCTCCTTCCAGTATAGCTAACCAGCACTGCTCCTGCTAATCTTCCCCATCCCTGTGTGGAGTATGAGCTGAGGCAGGTGTGAATGTGCACCCTCAGGAGAAACAAAACCTAGCTGTGGGCGCTCTGCTCATCAGATAGGCAGCACTGGAATATCTGAGCGGCTGCACGAGCGCCCAGCTTAGAGGGAACTAGGGATGTAAGAGACTAGTTGACTAGTGATGTGACTAGTCACTTTCCCCCTCTGCCTCCACCCTGCTGCCTCTATCAGAGAGAGGCAGCGGAGGGAGGGGGAAGCAGGAGCCCGTGCTAAGGGGGAGCCATCTTAAAAGCCGGTTCCCCCCAGCACTGTCTCCGCAGGGGGGGGATAGAGGCACAGTGGAAATCAGTGCAAGCAGGGACTGACGCAGTCTCCTCGCGCCACTTCTGCTGTGATTCTGCTTTTGTACACTGGAGCTCTTGTACATTTCAAAAGCAGAAGCTGGGCAGCCAGCAGGGGACTCCCTTTTCCCAAGGAAGCG